TTTTTTTTTGAATTGGCATACTCTTGCAAAAAAAATGTTTGTCTTCACATTAAAAACTTCTATCTTAAAGGGTTTAAAAAGAATTTTGAGACAGATTGTTTCATAGCCTTGGGACTGCTTGGAATTTTTGGTAGCTGTTAGATGTTAGGTAGAAATTCTCAGAGGTCTGTAGCAAATAGTGTGTTTGGAAAGCATTCTTACTAATTTTTCGAAAATCTGATCATGAAATAATCTTAAATTTCGTTCCTATAAGAGATGAATTTCCACTAAAAACATTTTGAAAACCTACTCCTCACCTTACAAACTGTGAGAAATAATATTCAGCATGTGAGACTTAGAATTTTCTACGCTTGGGAAAAATATATCCTAAAGAAGTTTGCTAAAAATAGAACAATTTGAAAATTTCATCGCAAAGGTCAATTAGTTTCTCCGCTATATTACATGTACATTGAATGCGTTCGAGGTTTCAATGTTCTCCAACAACTCTGAAGAACTTGCTTGAGAAATCCCTTCCATGACGCAATTATTCCAGGTGAATAACCCCCGCTGTGCATGCAATCACGCCTATAAGCACTGTTGTGGCCACTATGTTCAGGTGGGTAGCTTTGGCACATCTCCTTGATGTTATTCTTGCAAAACGTTGCAACGCCTTCAGCATCCGACAGCATTTGCATTCTCTAATCCTATCATATCCCGTCCTTGTCAGATTGATTGCTCTAACTTCCGGTGCGATCCGCTCGCGTTTCTTTTTTTTGCGCCGTCAGGCGATTGTTGACGAAAATCGGTCCCATCCGATAAAGTGCCGTCTTCTTTCGCCGCGTGGTAATAGCGGCGGAAATCGCTAATTTTAAAAAATTAATTCACGGAACACGAATGAGGAACGGTCAATTTACTTTCTAATTAGAGGGTTGCGTAAATTGTTTTGAAAGCGCAGATTTACGAAAAGTGCATTCACGCTACGACGGAAACGGAAATCGCATCGATTGACGTAATGAATGATTGCGGGAGTCGTGCGCTGGCTACGCACGAATGTGTGTGCGATCGTTGACGAAGAAAAACCCACTAGCAAAAACTCCCACAAGGAAACTAGCTATCTGACTCTTTTTAGGTTGTGTGGGCTAAGACAAACCTGGTCGGCTGCGGTTTCGCCAGATGCCGCGACGTGCAAGGACTCTGGGGTCGAGGGCATCGCAATGTCTTCGTCTGTCACTACAATCCTCAGGGAAACACGGTATTCGTCACTGGATCAGGACAGCTTTATGCGGTTGGTAACCCCCTGTGTTCATCAGTGACACGGTGTTGACAATGTGGCCACTATGTGACGACGTTGTCAGCAACGGCTTCACCACCTGCTAACATTTACGGCCCTAGTGCTTGTCTGCTTCCCGCCTTACACATGGTTTGCAGTGAAATTACTAACATAAAGCGCTAACATAGAGTATATTTTGGTGATTTTGAATACTTACCAGAGAATGTCGGCTAATCCATATCAACCTCACACACTTCACCTAACCTCAACCCGCTTCTTGCAGGTACCGGCCTTCACTTGGGCTACCGGCAACAAGGGTCGTTGCTCAGATTGTCCTTCGTCGGCCCCGGCCTGCTTTCAAGGACTCTGCTATATGCCTGCTGAACAACAGTACAGTCAAACAAATGTGACAGAACCGAGCACGTGACAGCGTCACTGATCGCTCTGCTGTATTTAGTGCTGCTCGACCACGTCTGTGAAATCGCTAGTGTCTTCTTCCTTATGAGGAAATTCGGGTCGTTGGGATCACAGCCTGCACTATACTCCACAACAGCACTGGCTGCGCCAACTGCTACTCACCAAAATCCGTCCAGAATCACTCAACTGTCTCTCCAGAAGAGGTCCTTAAATTTATTTGGTTTTGCAACTAATTATTTATTTGAGACCCAAGTCATGTTTATGCGGGTTTATCGACGTGTTGTCGATAAAGAAAAGTGCTTGTACATGAATAAATATTATTTCAAAAGTTTTACTACTTCTGAGGTATGGCAAGGACTTGCATATGCTGCACAAAGTTTATCGATACCAAAATTTTAAAGATTTTTATCCAACTCAGAACTGACACTAGCTAGACACACTAGACTCGTTCCTATAATTTTTAAAAAAGTTGTTTATTGGGTTTGTAAAAAAACAATTATGCTTTGAGGATTTCCGCCTATGAACTCATCTTAGAAGGTGTACTTCGTAGGTAATCTTAAAACGCAGTTCCAATTTCTATATCATTTCTTAATATAATTCGTTAATTGAACAAGATATCTGTAGCGAATCATTTACACAAATAATTGTTCTCTCAATAGTTACACTGCTCTTGAGGGAGAAAATCGCGAGATTACCTGTCCAAACTGAAGTTTGCATAAAATGAAGTTCAGGCTTAGGGTTGCAGAAATCTCAAGCAGGTTATAATGAGCGTATTTTCAAAATATATCTCTCTAACTTAGTGAGACATTTAAGTGAAAAGAAGTAGGAGGTTGATCCTACTAACCAAAAACCTTCTCCGACTTACTATCAGCTCGTGACCTTTTATTAAAATTCAAAATCACCTATAGTGAATTTTTTTCATACCCTATTATTTTGGTAAGGTTTTAAAATCCAGCTTCAACCCCTTCCTTCCATCTATTTTTTTGGCCCGTTCTGAACGCTTCTTTGTTTCGTAAAACGAAGTTTTTAAGAAATAATATTTATGTATTTGTTGGGAAAAAGACGCTTTTGCAATTAAGTTCGAAATTTAGTATGTAGCGCTCCTAAACAAACACTTCTATTCAAAATTTTCCTCTCGTTCCTAGTAATTCCTTCTGAAACTATTCATTCGTTATTAATATGGGGGTCGGAAAAAAGGTCCCTAGAAAGACGTTTAGTATATAAACGCTCTGTATTCAGTGTACTGAGCGTTTTGAAATTAACTCTGCAATGTGCTTAAAACCACATGATATTTGTGGCAAAGAAGAAAAGATTGAATATTGTACTCGAAATTTATCGTGTAGAGAAACAAGTTTCTAATCAAATGTTTAGTTTTTCGTAGTGTAGAGTCGTGCCTCAATGACAATTACTTTAAAAAAATTCTTTCAATGAATGTTTTGTATTCACAACATTCATTTAATTAGATGAAAACATTTGGCTACGCCTTGCGGATTCTTGTAACTGCTGAACTTCAACAAACAAATAAAGATATGAAAAGCAAAATTTCAGAAATCTACATTTCATTCATACTCGTCGAAGTAAATAATAAATTGTAACTATTTAAAAATAAATAGAAGTTTTGCGCTAGTAAATTCTCCATTTGAAATTCTGATTTAAGCCGGTCTCTATAATATATAGACCTATTTTGTGGTACAACAAACCCTGTACTTCAAGGAGAGTAAGACTGCAATATGGGCAGTTCAAACGCAGAGCTTTT